TAATAATCAGTAAATAATCAGTAATAATCAGTAAATAATCAGTAATAATCAGTAAATAATCAGTAAATAATCAGTAATAATCACTAATAATCAGTAATATCACTAATAATCAGTAAATAATCAGTAATAATCAGTAATAATCACTAATAATCAGTAAATAATCAGTAATAATCAGTAAATAATTGGTACTAATCAGTAAATAATCAGTACTAATCAGTAAATAATCAGTAATAATCAGTAAATAATCAGTAATAATCAGTACTAATCAATAAATAATCAGTACTAATCAGTAAATAATCAGTAATAATCAGTAAATAATCAGTACTAATCAGTAATAATCGGTAAATAATCAGTAATAATCAGTAAATAATCAGTAATAATCAGTAAATAATCAGTAATAATCAGTAAATAATCAGTAATAATCAGTAATAATCAGTAAATAATCAGTAATAATCAGTAAATAATCCTAACAAGCTATAAATTGTGCTTGACTTTTCCTAACAGAGCTCATTTCCTCGCTCATGCACCGAGACGAACATCTTATAAAAACTCAGGGTAACGCTGTTTCTGTTCAGATTTAACTTTATCAAACTTTAAATTTTACCTTTCTGCAGAAGAACATGCTCCTCTCTTCTCGCGTGGAGGTGGGGAAACGCCGGGGCATAGGTGCGTTCATGGGCCCAACATGAGTGGGAATTTACAACCACTTCTACATAAACACTATTTTGAAACTGGTAAACCACCTGGTTACATATATATTACTGTTTAAAAGAAAAAGCACAACTTTAAAATGAAATTGTGTGTAACAGAATCATATAGATATCAATTATTACTCTTTTTTTTATTATTCCACTTAAGGGGGCCCCCTAGTGGCCAGGGGGCCCTAAGCAGCTGCTTATCTCGTGTATGCGTAGGACCGGGCCTGCAACCAGACTGTTTAAAGAGGTATTTCCCTTAATTAATAACCACGTCTTGGATCTGCTTAATTTGTCTCTAATAAACGGTTACGTACCACAGAGCTTTAAGATTGCTGTAATTAAATATTTACTTAAGAAACATAACCTTGACTCAGGAATCTAGACAACTATAGATCTATATCTAATTAACTTTCATCTAATAATTCTAGAGAAAATAGTTGCAGGTCAGTTACGTGATCATCTACAAAGAAATAATCTGTTTGAAGATCCAAAAAAGTTCAATCAGGTCCTCTGGACATTAAAAAAAAAAACCCAAAAAAAACAAAAACAAAAAAATATATATAGAAACGTTTTGTCTCTCATCCCGAGGACTTCCTCAGTCTGAGGTGCTGTATTCAGCTCAGTCTCTTAAATAGCACCTTCTCAGAGTGGATCAACCTGTTTGCTGCTGACAACCAGAACCAGCTGCTCACATGCTCAAGAAGGACCATCAGCCTAACAATGGATCATTAGCACCTGATGGTTCATCCCAAAGATCCAGTCCCCCGGCACAAACAGAGTAATGTTGTGTATGTTGTTCAGTGTCAGGAGGGTGATCAGTCTTACATCGGGGAAACTAAACAGCCACTGGCCAAAAGGATGGACCAGCACAGAAGATCAACATCATCAGGCCAGGACTCTGAGGTCTACACTCATCTCCAGGCCAGAGGTCACTCTTTCAGGGATGAAGATGTTCACATCCTGGACAGAGAGGAACGATGGTTTGAGAGAGGAGTAAAGGAGGCCATCTTTGTGAAAAGAAACCGTCCATCATTAAACAGGGGCGGAGCCTCCTGGTTCAACTGTCCCCCTCTTACAATGCTGTGATTGCTAGTATCACTCAGCCCTCTGTGAACAGTAAACAGCCATCAGTGTGCTAATGATCCATTGTTAGGCTGATGGTCCTTCTTGAGCATGTGATCAGCTGGTTTTGGTTGTCAGCAGCAAAACTGGTTGATCCACCCTGAGACGGTGCTATTTAAGAGACTGAGCTGAATACAGCTCCTCAGACTGAGGAAGTCTCTCGGATGAGAGACGAAACGTTTCTACATTTTTTTGTTGATTTGCTTTGGTTTGTTTTTTTTGAATGTCCAGAGGACCAGATTTAACTTTTTTAGATTTTTCTACCTGGATTATTGAGCAGCATCAGGAATCTGTTTGAAGAGTTTCAGTGTTTAGAGTTCACCACAGAACTGAATCTGCACTAGTAAAAGTCACTAATGATATTCTCATGGCCTCAGACAATGGACTTGTGTCTCCACTGGTCCTGTTAGACCTCAGTGCTGCATTTGATCCAGTTGATCACAATATTTTACTACAGAGAATTGAATATGATGTTGGGATTACAGGAACAGCTCTAAAATGGTTTAAATCATATCTATCTGATAGATTCCAGTTTGTAAATGTAAATAATTCAATTCAATTCAAAAATACTTTATTAATCCCAGAGGGAAATTAAATGTTGTAACTCGTTGTCCTCATTTCATTCAGAGATGTTATAGATGCTGATGCTGCAGACAGGAAGGATCTCTTGTAAAGGTCCATCCCACAGTGGATCCTAAGAAACTGGCTGCAGATGCCATTCAATCCGTCCACCCAAACTCTGCTGGCCTCTCGGTTCACCCGGCCTGTAGGACCACCTGAATGCAGAGCAGAACTCCTCCCACAGCGATGACCACTCCTCCCAGCAGTCTGTCGAGCTCCTTGTCACTGCGGACAGACAGCTGTAGGAGCCGAGGGACGATCCTGTCCTTCTGCTGTCATGAGCCGTGTTTCCTGCTGGTTCCAGGATCTCAGTTGTCAGGCACTCGAGCACAGCTGGCTGGTAGATGAGAATGCATCCACAGAACATCCTTTTCAACTCATTTGATATTTGGGGCTGTAGTTGAGATATTATTTGAGCTTTTGAGATGTTAATCAGCTGCTGGTTGTAGAAAACTGCCTTGTTGCCATGGTTACGCATCATAACAAATGTCCAAAACTAAAAAGGTTTCAGTAAAAATCCTTCCAGCTGCACAGCATCTGGTACCAGAGGAAACAATCATCCAGAAAATGTGATTTACATCCAGAAAAAGAGGAATTAAAGTTTCCAGAAGCAGAATCTCAGAATGAAAGTAGAGCTGCTCCAACATGCAGACACCTGGAGCGGAGCAGTTCTAGAACATAATGACACTCTCTCACCAGTTTTCTCCTCCAGATGTTCCAGACACTGAGAACGGTCCCGTGTTGAGCCTGGACTGCTTGTTGTCAGGAGGATGCACGTTATTTTATTTAAACCTTTATTTAGACGTTAGATCTGATGGAGACAGTTTACATCTTTGTTTCAAGATGGACCGGGTCAGCATGACGCTACAGCAGCTCACAACACATGAGCCGTCATTAAACCAGAGTTATTAACGCACATTTAAAATAATGATGTGAACAAAAGAAGACAAAACACATGAAGATGAAATCGTACTAAAACCTGAGTGAATATCAGTTAAAGCATTTACTAAACACATCTTCAAATAATTAAGATAAATTATACAGTACACACTGTGTGTGATGCATATACTGTACAGTATATATATATA